CTCCCTCCCTCCCTCCCTCACTCTGAGTCCATTGGACTCACAGCAACCCTCTAGGGCAGGGTGGAACTGCCCCGTGGATTTCTGAGACGGTAACATTATACTGGAGGAGAAAGCCTCATCTTTATCCTTGGGAGCAGTTCGTGGTTTCAAACTGCTGACCTTGTGGTTAGCAGCCCAACCTGTATCCACTATGCCACAGTAGTTCTTCATAGCCACATATACCCAATCTCAAGTCCTTGGCTCCTTTCCCCAGTCTGTGTCCTCCCATCCCTTCCATCTGTGTCACTGGGCAAAGGACAGATCTAAGCCACCCAGTTCTGTGCCAACATTTCCAGCCCATTAACACAATGCTGACCTCTGTGGGTACACACACACACCCCTAATGAAATTTGGCTTACTTAAAGTGGCAGATTCCCTAGGCCCCAGCACAAACAAACAAAAATTCCAAACTCAAAAAAAAGCATACATTTCCATGTGTCCCAGATTATTTTGTGTAACAATTACATCTGGGGTAATTTCAATTTAATACCTCGCTGCAAGTGAAAATTGTAGCCCGCAGCCTGAAAATTACTATAATAATGAAAATAAAACCCGCTAAGTGAGGCTGGTACCACCAGAGGCTGCTCCTGGATAAATGCTTCCTCTTGTTTCTTGCTATTTCAAGGGTTGACCAATTATGGGGAGGGGTACTTATTACAGCAGGAAATAAATAACAGACGCTTGGGGACTCACACATTTGCTCTCCCCATTTCCCAAAAAAAATCTTCCCAGGCCTGGAGCTTTTAATTTGGGTTTTCAGACCACAAGGATGCACTTCAAGGGGGCCACCAGCCCCCTGGAGTTGTGTGCAACACAGTGTAAAAAATTCCATTTTCACAAACTAAAATAGCCCATTGTTTTCAGTAGCTTCTCAAAAAAGTCTGTGGTCTCAACCTACTGGAGGACCTCAGTCCTGGGACAGTGTGTCCGAGGCCTCTTGGCCTCCCAGGTCATTCTAAACCCTTCCTTCCTGCATGAGTAACTGGGAGGGTGTACACTGGGCATGGAGGTATTTTCCAGGCTCGCTTTGCACAGCACCTGAGTCCAGGCTGGGATTCCACAGGGTACATACGAAGACCCTCCTGTAGGTCGAAAGAGTGGGCCATCTCCTGGAAGGCCCTCCTGCTCTCTCTCCCTGCAGAGGTCACTCACCAGATCTTGTTAGGTCAGTCTACTTCCTGAATCCACCTTCTCGTCCATCCCTAAGACCCACATCAAATGCTCATCCCCCTTCATGGGGTCACTGCCACGGCCCCTTGACTAGTCTTCAGCCTGCAGCCTCTGGCCCTGCCAGTCAGGCCCGCTCTCCCCAGGTTGTCTTTCTGCCTAGAATCCCTGCAGTGGCTCCCAATGGGCCAAGTTCCAAGTCCCCAGGATTGCCTTCCAAACCTTTCACCACCACCGTGCCTCTGCCATTGCTCCTGCTATGACTTCCTTCTTCATCTAGGAAGCTCGTAGTCATCCTTTAAGACTCATCTGTGAGTGGACACAAGGACATTTGCCCTGGGACAGCTGTGTTCCTGTCCTCTGAGCCTCCAGAAGCCGCGGGGCTCCTCTTGTGACAGGCAGCCATCAGTCACTGGCCTCCTCCAGTCACAGGCTCCGGGAGGGCAGGCTGGAGGGCGGTGCTTCGCCCCCACCACACCCGGGCATCCCTGCCCACAGGACGCCATGGTACCCACGTTCTGGAGCCTTTATTTGTCCCTTGTCTCATCTGACACTCGCAGCAGCCTGGTCAGAATCCCCACTCAGCGGATGAGGCGGATGGAGGCTCAGAATCTCCCTCGAGGTCCCACCCCCGGGGAGTCACTCAGTCCCTGTCATCATGTCCTGGCTGACTCAGTAACCCGGTCAGGACAGGGCAGGACTGCCCTGTGTGTTTCCGAGGCTGTAACTGTCGAAGGGAATGGAAAGTTGTGTCTTTCTCCTGGCAAGAGGGTGGTGGTTTCAAACTGCTAACCTTCCAATGGCAGCCGAGCATAACCACTGGACCACCAGGGCTTCCCTGGGGAGTCACAGAGCCTCCTAACCTGGGGGTGCCACACCCACGCCCACAGGATCTTCCCCTGGGAGCTTATGTGGGCTCCAAGCACAGGAGCCCAGACTCAGGAGCTGACCATGCTCCTGCCTCTGACTCCTCCGCCCCTCGGCCCCACCACCAGTGCACTAACCACTTGCCCTCCCTGCCCCAGTTAGGGAGGGCCACTGGGGATTGGAACCAGCACCGGTAAGGCTGAGAGGAATCTTCAAAGCAGAAAGCCCGGAAGAGAGTTTGCTCAGACTGGGGGCTTTCTGCAAGTGGGATCTAAAAGATTGATCAGACAACGAGATCTATTAGGGGCACCAGGGAGAAGACAAGACTGCCTGCCCTGTGGTCTGGCACTGGCAGCCGGAAGAGAAAGCACATTTATAACTTATTAAAGATCTGGAGCATTGACTGGGGAGAAAAGAGAGGGAGTGGGAGCGAGAGGCCTGAGGGTGGGGCCCCCAAACCACTCTCCTAGACTCCTCCCCTGGGGCCTGGCTGCCACAGTTCACTCAGAACAGCGCACACTCCTCTGATCTGACTGCTGGCATAGCGCCTCTTTCTTCTCTGCAAATGAAAGACACCGTCCCTCCCCCAAGTCAAAGTGGAGCTCACAGTGCTTCCTGGATTCAGTGATGTCCCTGGAATGTGTGCTGGGATCTTACACCCTGCGCCAGAGGAGGATGCAATCCCTCTGGAGAATAGGGCTCTCCTGGTTATGTTCCCGAGTGCAAGCATTATATTACAGGGTGTGTCTTAAACCTAGCCCCTTTAATACACGAAAGGACAAATTAGACTCAGAGAGGAGCAAACACATAGGAGGAGGGTGATGCCCCAGGAAGATCCAAGGAATTGAGGACGCTAGGAAAAGGATTTCAACCTAGGCTGGAGAGAGAGAGAGAGAGAGAGAACCCTATCCTAAAGCTGGCATCCTGAATTCAGACTGCTAGCCTCCCCAGTTGTGAGAAAATGAATTTCTGTTCCCCCAAATCACCCACTTGTAGTATTTTTGCCACAGCAGCACTAGATAAGTAAAATAGACATGAATCCCAGGGCAATGGGTCCTCTCTCCTCCCCTCTCGCAGCGAGCAGCCAATCACAGACTCCTTCGCCCCCACCCCCAACCCCCCTACCTATGCTTGACTGTGAGACAACTTGGACATGTCAGAAACACAAGGCTTGACTGCTGACCGCTGTCAGTTACCACAGCACTGGGCTGA